AAACCAGGGAGCCAGACGAGATCTAGGCCGGGTCAGAGGCCGCAAAGGCACGACTCGGTCCAATGCAGCGGCGGCAGTTGTCTCCCAAGCCGCCGCCTGATTTTCCGCCGAGTCATGGACCAGATCCCCCGGATAAGGCCCAAGCTCCGTCAGGAACCTCTCTGGGTCCATCAGTCGCCTGGGACGGAACCATCTAGGAGATGGGCAGCAAACAAATTTAATAAATAAATAAATAAATAAAAATAAAAATTGCTTGGTTATGGTGGTGTAGTAATCTAATACATAGATAAAATTCTCAGTATGATACAGTTGAAGCAGTCTATGAGCAAAAATAAAAAATACATTTTTACTGCAGCTCTGTTTTATCAACATTAACAATGCAAAATCATTTTTAAAACAGTGTAATTTTTAAATAACTAAATTTTGTATAGAATATGCTGATTTTGACCTGTTTGTATCTGTGTGGCATATATGAACTTGAAAGGTTATCTTTCCCCTTGTGCAGAACTTATGTATTAAGAGTCTTTATGCATCATCCCTTATCTTAGGTTTATGCGATTTAGTTGTCTTGATTTTTTGTCATTAATATTGTCCTTCTTTTCTTTCCAGGCTGTCCTTTTGGTATATGATGTTACCAACCAACAGAGCTTTGAAAACTTAGAAAATTGGTACAATGTTGTAAAGAAGGTCAATGAAGAGTCAGAAACTCAACTACATGTGGCCCTTGTAGGTAATAAAAGTAAGTTGTTAAATTGTTATTTAACTGGAATCTTTTGACATACCTAAAATGCGGATCAGCGGTATGAGCCCCAATCTTGCAGACATTGGTACATGTGTGGTCCCTTTCATTTTACTGGCACCATGGTGCATTGATTTTGGCAGGCTCAGAACTGTAAAATGTAATATTTCATGTATTAGACCAAATGGGGAATGCTGTGTTTGACAACAATCACAATGTTTAGTTTGATGGGGGAATATCATTTCATGGAAATATTTTGCTTCAGTGATTAGCAGTATGACATTGCCCATAACACTTGGGAAGTTTTGTCAATTTGTTTTCCTGATTTTATTTTTAATACAAAATGGCTTTTTATTGTTTGGAATCCCTATATTTAAGCCATCAAGAAATGGTGCCTAACTTTTTTCCTACCTTTGTTAATAGGTAACAAATAATAAAACTTTTCCTGAGAAAAGTTTATTTCTATGGTCAACATATTACAGGTAGTCCTCGACGTACGATCACAACTGAGCCCAAAAATTCTGTTGCTAAGTGAGACATTTGTTAAGTGAGTTTTGCCCCATTTTATGACTTTTCTTGGCATAGTTGTTAAATGAATCATTGCAATTGTTAAGTTAGTAACCCGATTATTAAGTGAATCTGGTTTCCCCATTGACTTTGCTTGTCAGAAGGTAGCAAAAGGTGGTTACATGATTTTGAGACACAGCAATGGTCATAAGTATGAAGCAGTTGCCAAGCATATGAATTTTGATCACATTTTCATGGGGATGCTACAAAGGTTGTAACTGTGAAAAAACGACCATAAGTCAGTTTTTTCATTGCCATTGTAACTTTAAATGGTCACTAAATGAACTATTATAAGTTGAGGACTACCTATACCTGAATTGGTTTAAACATTGAAGAGCTTAAAAAAAATTAAAGATTGCAATAGGATAGATATGTTTCCTCCTCCTTTTTCTCCCCCCTCTCCCCCAATGCTATTATGAACCTTGGTTTCCTTGCAGACTTTTTAAAAACTTTTTTACTTGGCTATTCAGTTTGTCAAAAATAAGACTGTTGAATGGTAAAACAATCAATAAAACATTGATTTTATTAGAAAAGGGGTCTCCAAACTTAGCAACTTTAAAACCTATGGACTTTGGCTCCCAGAATTCCTCAGCCAAGCATGTTGAGGAGTTGAAGTTCACAAATCTTAAAGTTGCCAAGTTTGGAGACCCCTGTATTAGAACAATAAAAAGGTTCATTTTACAGTAAGCGAGATAGTTATGTTAATTACAAAATATATTGATGCTTTATAGCAGCGGTTCTCAACCTGTGGGTCGCGACCCCATTTGGGGTCGAACGACCATTTCACGGGGGTCGCCAAACAACGCAGTCCGCCATTTTTTTCCCCTTTTCAACGCAGTCCGCCATTTCCCCCCCTTTTTTTCCCTTTTCCTTACCTGTGCTACTCCCTCTTATTCTACTGGCTTTTGAAAGCCAATAGAATAGACTCTATTCAAGAGACTCTATTCTATTGGCGTTCGAAAGCCAATAGAATCTATTGGCTTTCGAAAGCCAATAGAATAGACTCTCTTGAATAGAGTCTAATTCTGTTGGCTTTCAAAAGCCAATAGGAATTGTCCAGCCTGTCTCTGCCCTGCTGAGCCCGGCGAAAGTCCCAGTCTGCAAACGGTGCTGCAAGTTGTCTGCACCTAAGGTGAGCTTTCTGGACGTTTCCACCCCTCCCTGCTGAGCAACTCCTAAATGTAAGTAAAAGAAGGCCAGGGGTGGGAGGTGGGAGGCCGGTGGGCGCAGGGAGGGTTGCTGGCGCACGTGGGGCCCAGGGGGTGCCTTACCTCCCTTGGGCTGGGCCAGCTGGTGGCCCAGCCGGTGGTCGCCCTGCGCCCTCGCTGCCGCGTGCCATGGCCGCCCAGGAGCGCCTGGTCCTGCCGGCCTGCTGCCGCACCGAACGTGTGGTGGCCAAGGTAAGGCTAGCAGAGCAGCGGCGGGCGCAGGGAGGGTTGCTGGCGCGCGTGGGACCCGGCGGGTGCTTACCTCCCTTGGGCTGGGCCAGCTGGTGGCCCAGCCGGTGGTCGCCCTGCGCCCTCGCTGCCGCGTGCCATGGCCGCCCAGGAGCGCCTGGGCCTGCCGGCCTGCTGCCGCACCGAACATGCGGTGGCCAAGGTAAGGCTAGCGGAGCAGCGGCGGGTGCAGGGAGGGTTGCTGGCGCGCGTGGGGCCCGGCGGGTGCTTACCTCCCTTGGGCTGGGCCAGCTGGTGGCCCAGCCGGTGGTCGGCCTGCATCCTCGCTGCCGCTTGCCATGGCCGCCCAGGAGCGCCTGGGCCTGCCGGCCTGCCGCCGCACCAAACGGGCATCTTGCTCCGCGATTGCCGGCTCCGCACAAAAGTTTCTTTTTCTTTCCTTTTCTTTTCTAAATTCTACCCCCCTTTCTCCCCCTCTCCTGTCCCCTCTCCCATTCTTTTCTCTCCTCTCCTTCCCGGCGGCGAGATTCGGCCGGCTGAGGGGGTCGCTCTAGCTCGAGCAGGAGAGCCATCTCTATGCTCCTGGGTCACGTGTGGTCGTGCGTATGGGTCACGTGTGGTCACGTGGGTGCGTGCATGTGGGTCATGTGTGGTCACGTGGGTTCGTGCGTGTGGTCACATGGGTGCGTGCGTGTGGGTCACATGTGGGTCACGTGGGTGCATGGGGTCGCGGCATTAGGAAGGTTGAGAACCGCTGCTTTATAGCATTATTTCATTATCTTAAATTTCTTATCACTTTCATAAAAGCAAATTTAAGGATATTGTATAATAGTGAAATTGAAATACTAATAATTAGGAGGAAAGACAAACCAACATAGAAGTTAATTCTGCATAATCATAGTGGCAGTATTGACATCCTTACATTCCCTAATGAAGCAAAAGATTTCACCCTGTTTCTAGGATCTCATGGAGGGGGAACTGGGACTATGCTCTGATATTCAGTTGGTAGTTGATCCTTTTCCCTCTTAGACTCCATTATTGGGAAGGGACGCACCATTGAGTATATTTCTATACAAGCTGTTTAAACTTGAGTTCCAACTAGTGGCTCTTTAAAACTACAGGGATTTTCAAGATGAACAGGTATTTCAGACTGATATATCATTGCTGAGGCTCAGAGAATCTCAGGTATTTTTGAAATAACTTTTCTCCAAGCAAAGAGTGCTGTTTCTCCAACTTTCAGTTCAATGGTGCCAAAAAGATGGGAGGGATTCCCTTACAAACAGATGAATGGTAAACCAGAGTGGTCTCTTAGGATGCTTTTAAAAAGCAATGACTTTGGCAGTGAGAATAGAAACAATGAATTCATTTATGGCTATTGCCTCCTTGCTCTAGACCAAACATTCACAGATATTCCAGTAGATATTTGAAGGCTTGAATGAACTGGCAAAGGCATCAGTGTCCATGACATTGAGCATGGTGATTTGCTGGGGACTATGATTTAAATACAGAGAACTGTTGGTTCAAAATCCTTGCTACCTTTTGGGGATGGGGGTGAAACATTAGCATCAGTTCTGATGGAGAGCAAAGCATTAGAAGGCCTGGCCTGCAGAAATATGACACCAGATCAAGGAAAATATTGTGAATTTTCACAATAGAGACCAAGAAATTATATCTCTTGATCAGGAACCAGACAGAGTGGCCCTTCAGCAGAGGTCAACAAAACTCACCTTCTCCTGGCTTGGGCAAATGAACTTCAGCATGATACCGCAGAACTCCAGGTGAACAGCTTGTAATGTTTTTTTAAAAAAACATATTTTATTGTTTTTTTGTTTCTTAGAACAAAGTGCTTGAGACACACCGTGGTGCTGGGGTAATCAAACATCCAAAAATAAAACCATATATGAATAACTCAAATCAATACATTAGACATTCCCTCTCTATTTCCCTCAAATAACACGATATATTTAAAATAATCCATTTCTAGATTAAATTTCTATAAATTCTAAACCTGTTTTTAAGCCCTATAAATTTACAGTTACCATAGTCAACTTTAACCTTAAATAAACGCATTATCACTTCAGGTATCCTTTCCAGGTATATTCTAGTTCTGATTTCTTAAGTCCTTAATTTTATCACAAATCTTATTTATTTCTTTTTCCACTACACATTATGTATCCTGATTAAAATAAAATATTAGTCTACCCTATACATATATAGTCCATCAATCAATCAATCTCTTTAACCTAGCAAAATAATATCAAATCTTAAATCATTTCAGTCTGTTAGGTAAGATTCAAATTTCATCCAAGTAATTATCATGCCTAAAAACACCCATATTATCACACAAAAATATCATCTTACTAATTTAACATGTTCAATTAATTATTGAGTCAATCCAGATCTAAAGGATTTTCTTCATTCCATTACATAATAGTTTTCATGGAAATAAACCTATTATTCTAAAAAGTACATTCTTAGTCTATTTAAAATATGTATTCTAATAATCATCCATTTTTCTCTTACTTCTAACTTTAGATCTTAATCCTTAAATCAGTCCATAGTTCTACAGTGCCTTTTAATCCATTACATATAATTTTAAGTTTCTCTTTTCAGTCTTATTCTAGCCTTCTTTTTGTGCCAGGCAGGTTTCCATAACAAAGCTTCCCTTTCAGCCAATAGATCTCCTTCTGTTGCTTGTAGTGTCATTTGAGTCGGTAAACAGCATCCCATCCTCTGCATTGGGTGTCTATTTCTCTTGTTCTTAAAGCCTCGTTGCTTTAAAGATTCAAGTCTCAGTCTTTGATTCTTCTGATCCTCAAAGATATAGATGAAGTGCTTGTAAGGTAAAATAAATTCCTCTTTAATCTCAATTGATTCCTCTTCTGGTGTATTTTGATTTATAGAATGGTCAGGTGCAGTCTGAAAGTCAGTTTGAGCGTTTGGAGTAAGGCTTCTGGCTCTTAGTTCTGTAGTGATCTCTTTCATTTTAGCACATATTTCTTCAGTAGCCTCATAAATCTTTTCCAATATAAGTTT